TGCTAGCATGTGAAATGAGTGCAATTGTGTGATCGTTAGATTGTATGAAGCACATTCATTTAATTTCAATGCACAGCCTTGTTTTTCTCTGTTATAGAATATGCTACAATTTTCCCAAAGTTGCTACAGATTTTCAGACAGTGAAAGGATATTTCACTGAATTATAAAGCAGGCACATTTTAAATAATATAAATATCATTTACATAATTCATGCTGATGCCATTATTGTTTTTTATGCTGTCCCAGTTCTGTGTGAATGTTCCATGTTGTTAATATATCATGGAAGGAATAATGGAAGACAACTGATTCTTTTGGACAGTGAATTTTGAGCATTCTAAGAAGGGACCTTCTAAGAAGTTAAGAAACACAATTTTAAACATGTGTGATCAGGTTTGGTTCGGTTTCACACTTCTGATTATAATTAATAATATTATGAGTTAGAAGGGGAAACATATCTGATTTTTTATAAGGGCTTATCTACATATTTCTCTAACTGTGGGTCAGACATCCTTTGTTAACTGTTCTTTAAGGACCCCTGCTGATATTGCTGCCTTCATCTCATTCCCGGTCCAGAGCAGAGGCCATCTAACTTCATATTTATTTGGCCTGATGTTAAAGTGGAGTTTTCCATCTTCTCCCTATACAAACCTTGCAATACACATAATTTTTGACACTTCAGAGGTGACTATGGTGATGATATCATGGTCAACAGCCCAGCTTCTGTTAGCTGCTTTCAGCTGCTCCAAGCACACACCCCTCCCCTCAGTCATTGGACACCACCCTCCCTGGCCCTATTTGCTTGTGCTGCTGGAATGACAGGATAATTGGCTTCCACCGTCATGTGCCCATGAAATGTCTGGTTGATGCTTTTCAGAGCATAAATCAGAGTTTGCACAGGCTTCTTATTAACCCCTGTTCACTGCTACGCCTCTTTCAAAGACGTATTCTAGAGAGAGGGCTAGACTTTTCCTTCATCTGTAAAACCGAAATAAGAATGCACTAGCTGCTGTGCCAAAAGTTGATTTCACTGGGGAAGACTCGGATTCTAGCAATAAGGGTGCTCACTGTTTTTGCCCTTATAAGAGCAGTAAGGTATGCTCTTACTGCTTTAAATCATTAGAGTCTCCTTCTTGCCTGCTTCACAAACTCACTGGTCACTTGCTGCCTGAACTCCAACTTGGGTATCACTTCCATTCCTGTGAGTGCAGATATCCCTGCTCAGAAACCCTGGCTGTTCTTACTTGCTGCCAGCACAACTCTCTGGACCATAACTCAGGAATGGGGTGGTCGCTGTTTCTGTCTCACAGCAGCAATATTACTACAAGATCACCATGAAGTTTGCTGTCTACCTCCATTCTGGTTGGGTGTAATGGGCAGAAGTAATGGTAAACACTGATTTTTGGAGATATTTTTTGCTACCCTGTCAAAAAGGGTGCCGGATACATGGTGATGTGAGAAGGAACTCAACTGCCATTCTTCTTGGGCGATCTTGTTTTGTCCCATACCGCAGACCTATCATTCTGAACTGCAGTTCTACTGCTTCCCCAAATAACAATATATGCATTTCAGAATAGCCTAAATGATAACCCATCATCCCAGAGCATCTCTGCACCAGAATTTATCACTTGGGAAACTTGGAAGGTGACCTACGATATTTACTTCCTTTTCAATATCACTGTTAACTCTCAACTTCACTATTTAATAGCTGCTGGTGGAGGAAGGGTGCCAGATCTCTGATTCACCCAGCTCTACCTCACCGTCACATTAAGGAAAGTGATGGTTGTATTCCCCACCTGACAATTGGGAATGGGAACACTGGTGGGAGGAGAAACGCAGCCACCAATTGCTACCCGTTACCTGTCCCACATTAAAACTATAAGGGCGGCAGAACTTGTTCTCCTTGTTATTGAGGCAGAATAGAAATTGGCTGTTAGGACAGAGCAAACTATTCTGACATAGTTTTGTGCCATCAAAAGCAGTTGTTGGATGAGCCCTCAGAGACACGGTCCCGTTGCCAGAACTTCCAAAAGGCTCTATAGACTCCACCATTCATTCACTTCTCTGCCAAAAGCACTAAAAGAAAATGCTTTCCATGCCTATGGGATTTATTCTCCTCACTTGAAGTCCACAGAAACTATTTTTCCCACTTCTTATATTAAATTTGTTCTCCTCCCCCAACCCCCCGAACAGCTTGGGGTTTGCATGTAGCATTCTGGGATTCCATAAAAGCAGTTTTCCATGAGAAAACAAAGATATCCAGGTGTATGCATGAACTGAAGAATCATTTGCAGGTTGTTTTTATATAAAGAGTTTTTTAAAAAGTAGTCTCCATTATGCCTTGCAAACTATTTCTATTTTTATTGCATTAAGTATCTATGTCAGAAATGCCCTATTTTACTTAAAGGTTCACATCAAACAAGCTGGATTGGTCATTTAAAAAAAAATTGCATTTTAATTACTAGTAACTATTCCATAAACAAGGCTTAGTATTTGTTAATGCATAGTTGTTAGATCAATGACATGAACACTGGTTTCTGAGCAAAGAAATTGTACAAAATGAACAGCTGTGCATGTGATAGAAAACCGAATATCCTCTGTTTCCTGTTTATCTTGTCTGAACTGGATTTGTTTAATATATCCCCCGGCCCCCCCGGACTACAGATAAGGAATTTGCCCATTTCCCTGAGATGAGGGGAAATCTGTTCTGGCTGAGATCTAGACAGCCATGAAACAGTAAAGGCATGAATTATTTCATGGTCCCGCAAGGGCTGCATCATGTCCAAAACTATTTTAGGGGAAAGTGCTAAGAATTTATTTCAGTGGACTCTAATGACCTGCATAGGAATCAAATTTTAGGATGCTTGCACTGAGGAGAGGCAAGAGTCTGGCCAGGTCTCCACCTGCATAAATAGTATGCTTTGTATTTTTAATGAAGC